GGCGGCCAGAGCCCAGTACAGCCTCCCGGGAATCCTGCACTTCCTGCAGCATGAATGGGCCCGCTTCGAGGTGGAGCGAGCCCAGTGGGAAGTGGAACGGGCGGAGCTGCAGGTAAAGACCCTCCCGGCCTGGCCCTCTTCATCCCGCCTCTTCGCTCCCTCCGCCCCGCCCCGGACCCTTCTCCCTCCCCCCTGCCCCTTCGCTGGTACCCACCCCTTTGCTCCCGCCCGTCCCACCCGAACTGTCCCTTTCCCTCCATCACCTTTGCTTTTGGCTGACCCCACTTCCTTAACCCGGGTTCCCACTCCCGCCCTTATGCGTTGTTTACCCTCCCCGCTCCTTTTCCTCTGTTCCTTCTCTGTCTCATTTGAACTCTCCTGCCATCCACATTTTAGGTCTTCTCTTTCGGTATACTAATTGGGCTGACAGTAGTTTTGAAAGACATGGAGCAAAAATCATCTTCTGTCCTAGTGAGTCCCATCCTAGGTCTACAGACGTTCTCCGCAGTGTAGATACTGACAGTTGGCTCCTCTCTCTGAGAGGAAGGTGATTAATGAAGACAACAAGTTGTGTCTGTGAGGCCTTGACTTCAGGCAAGAAGTTTATGTTGGGTGAAAATGTTACTAGGAATATCAACTCTCTTTTTGTATATGTAAATGTTTCTTCTCTTCCCTCTCTCCCTCACCCCCTCCCACTTTTCTTGTAGGTTTTTCAGATTCCTGGATTTTAAATGAAGGACCTAGATGATCACATTCAGATGGTGGTTCAGAGATGGTTTCCTGTTCTCAAAATCAAAAACTTCCCAAGGATTAATTTTATGTTCAGTGTTTTGTGAGATAGATTTTTACTTTAAAAAGAACTAAAAGGGGCTTCAAAGTTGGTTACATTTCCTTGCATACTCTGCAAGGTAAAGTATATCCAGGGAGGGCTCTTCAAAGAAAGAAAGTGAGGGTGATACTTTACAGGGCATTTGGAATTGGTAAGTAGGTTTCAGTGGCTGTTCTTAAAACTTCCAAGCCGTACATCACTTTCACAAGGAACTTAAAGAACTGTGAATGACTGTGCCTTTCTGCTTTACTGGCTCATCCTGTGTGCTTGTGAAATCCGAGTATGGTTTTGGTTGGTGAAACATTTAAAGTTAAAATGCTACCCAGTGTGTCACTTTTTTTGGTAACATGTATTTTCTTCGGCACTTAAAAAAAAAGGGAGAAATCTGTTAAATAGAATCTGTGAGGGAACAGGCTGCTTTGGTGTAATGCAAATGGCAGTGGAAACAGCAAGCAGACAGGGTTATAATAGTAGGCAAGATTATAGTATGGGCTATGCTTGCTGCTAGCTCTGTGACCCTGAGGAAATCATTTAACCTCTCTGAACTTCAGTTTCATCATTTATTTATTCAGCACATTTATTGAGTGTCAGCTGTGTGCCTCTAGGCCCTGGGATTAACAAAACTGACAAAGCCTCTGCCCTCATGGAGTTTATGTTTTAGTCCAGAGACAGTCAGCAGATGCAACTATATAATTCACTGACCCATAGTGACAACTGCTATGAGAAAAATAAACCAGGATACTGGAATAGAGTGTGATAGGGGCAGATGTTTTAGATGGGGTGATCAGGGAAGGCCTCTGGGAGGAGTTGAATGAAGGGAGGGAATGACCCATGGTTTCCAAGATTCCTTCTGATTCTTTATGTCTGCAGTTGTATCTTTATATCCTTTGGTGGCTTTTTCATTCCAACAGTTATATTGCTTTAGTATCTGGTCTTTTGATAGTTGTAATTTTTCTCATAATCTGACCATGTCTGTATAACAACCATCAGACTTAGATGCTTCATTCAGATTTATTGGTAATTCACCCTTATTAGCAATGCATTCCATAAATGAGTTCAAGGAAGTGTTAAAAGCAGGCTTTAACTTTAATATTGTACAGTTGTGGAGAATAATTTTTGTATGTAGCCATTTAAATTTTAATTTATTTTCCAGTCTAGGGAATATGAGGTAAGCCACAATCATTTGGTCAAAAACAAACAAGATAACAACTCTTCCTTTCCTACTTGTGGTAGTTTGGGAATTTCCTACTCATCTCACCCCCTGTGCCTGCAACCCCCACTCCCCCAACCCCCATTTAAACTTTTCAATTTACCTATAACTATAGCAACTCCATACACACAAACACACACACCCCTTCCTGAGTTATTTATGGCAAATGTTAAATTTAAAGTAGATTTTCCTTTGGTTTTTATTATATTAAGGACCCTACATTTTCATAGTGTCTTTTGGTTTGTGCTCAAATTAAGCATCCATGGAAAAAGTTAAAAAAATGTATCATATTTTCCTTACAGCAAGGGTTACATATTTGGAGAGAGAGTTTTCAGGACTCTATGGTCTATGGCCCCCTTTATTAGCATTATTGAAAATATATTTAAAAAAAATTTTTTTTTACATCAACATCATTAAATTTGAACACATCTCTTCATTTTTCTTTGCCATTGAAATATTCCTAGAAAAACAATAGGAAGTACGAGTTGAATGATGATGAAATTCGGATCAGCTGATGTTCTTTTAATTTTTAAATCTCTTCTCAAGTCATTAACACCAAGGTCAACAAAAATACCTTCAAGTCTAACGTGTTGCTTCAGGAACCTGACAGTCCTGCTCTTTCAAGTTGCCAGGGCAGAATTGTGAAAGGCAATCCAAGCTCTCATCTGTCTGGTCTGCCTTCAGCACTTCCTCCCTCCTTCAGATCCTAGGGGTAAGAAACTGGCCACATTGTACCAAAAACTTTGTCATTTTGTTCCCCCTTGCCCAGTTAGTTAATACAAGACTCTCTTTTCACTTCTGGTAATCTCACTCTCCCCTCAGCACCACCATGCAGGTGAAATAGGTAATGCATGGGAAAAGAATGGTCAAGATTAGTACTGAGATTTATATTTGAGAGAGGAATTGGAGATGAGGTACCTGACATTTGGAACAGTTTTCTGCATGTGATACATTGATCTAGATGACCTCAAAGAAACATGAAGTCTAATTGGAGTGACAGAACAAAGAATGCAGAAGAATCAGAGTGTTTATTATTATGGTGGTTTAAATTCCCTTAGCATAGCACAAGAAAGAAGAGCTAGCGAGTGGGGAGAACAGGAAGAACTTTATGAGGTAATGAAAACCTTAGGTTCAGTATTTGAAAATTACTGACTTATGAGAAAGCAAGCAGGTAAATACAGAATAAAAATTATTGGCCCTAGATTTGGATGTGTGTTCACACGTGTGTGTGTGTGAGTGATGATTGAATAGCTTAGGGCATGTGGGTGGAGGCTGGTGCTATAGTGTTTATGAATCTGGATTTTGGCATTAGTGATTCATATTTTCATTAAACAAATATCAAGAGCCTACTTCATGCTAGGTCCTGTTCTAGGCACTGGAGAAACAGCAGTGATTAAAACATCCTACCTGCATGAAGTTTACATTGTGGGGGAAGATAGTAATAAATACACTCATAAAATTTTAGATGGTAGTAAATGCCATGATAAAGTGGTGTAAGTGGAATATGGAGTGCTTGAGAGGGTGGAGAGGGGAAGAAAGGCTTTGCTGATAAGGTGCCATTTGAGCAAATACCTGAAAAGGTGATATCTTTTTAAGAGTGTTCTAGGCAGAGGGAACAATAGGAGGAAGGAAACATGCTTTGAATATTGGTGGAATAATGAGACAGCTGTGGCTGGAATAGAGGAGGAAAGTGGAAGAAATGCTGTCAGAGGTACTGGATCTTGCCCACAGTAAAGACTTTAGATTTTACTTCAGCAAGATGGGCAACTCTGGAATGTTTTGAGCAAAAGAGTGACACCATCCTTAAACAGAATCCTTTGCAAGGATTCAGAATAGACTGGGAGAGGAAACAAAGGTCGAAGAATCAGTCTAGGTAGGAGACACTTTTAATAATCCACGCCAGGGATGACCCATGGTGGCAATAATGAGATTTGGAAATATATATTTTGATACATATTCAGAATATAATGGATTCTGAATACTTTTTGAATATAGAACCAGCAAGATGTGCTGGAGAGGATAGAATGTGAGGTTTGAGAAAAAGAGGAGTCATATATGACTCAAAATTATTTTGAGCAGCCTCAGAGGACTGTTGAGAAGATTTACTGTGCATTTAAATGGACAAAGTAGGCACTTAAAATGACAACTTATTTTTGTTATTCTTGCAACTGTTATTTATAATTATAGTAAAAGGCAACATGGCATAGACCCGGATTTAAATCTTTGCACTAAGACTTACTGTATTTTATGCCAAAAATACATGTTTGCCATAATTCTGACCTCTCAGAAACTTAGCTTCCTCGTGTGTAAAGTGAGAATAATAAACTATCTTGTGAGAATTAGATATTTTAAAGTACCTAGCAGAAGCTTGGTATATAACACAAACTAAGCGCTGGATGAATAAACGGTAGCAAGTGCATGATGTTAAATTTGTACTCTCATAAATCTCCTTTCTGTTCCCACAGAAAAGCAGAATTTTCAGTCACGAACTCTTCTAAGGTTAGAGCATATGCCATCCTGGAACCATGCAGTTTAACCTTTTGGTTTCGATGGTGGCATTAAAGGACATTTAATAGGAGTCAGCCTCAAAACATTGATAATATACTTTAAATGTATTTGCTTTCCTTAATAACCCACCATGTGTCTGTTATCTTAAAATTTGTATAAACTTTTCTGAACGTGTTTTACTTAACCATGCATGACTTCTTGAGTAACAAATCACATACATTTACGAATGACTCTATAAAACTAAACTTCGGTTTTATTTCGCTGTTTGTTTGGAGTAGGTGGACCCCATTGTGGTATGGTATAATTTCTAAACAGGCTACTTTGTAAAATTCTATTCTTATCCTTGATAATTTTATAATATTTAATTATATTTTGGAACTATTATAGAGGTTTTACTCTTTTAAAACATACCCTACTATTTGTCACTTTAGTGTTTCTCAACTTTAGCTGCAATCTTAGAATAATCTGAGGGAACTTTTAAAAATATTAATTCCATGGGCTCTGCCCCAGACCCATTAAATCAGAATTATAGGAATTAGGGCCCCTGGTATTAGTGTTTTTTGAG